TATAGACTTTCAGAAAGTCTTTGACAAAGGTCATTATCAGAAAACTCAGCTGCCAGGACATAAAAATACAGGGGGATCCCAGGAATTGGCAACTGGTTAATAAACAGAAAACAAAAAGTAGGAATAAATGAACAATTCTCTCACTGGCGAGTTATACTGGGGTCCTTCAGGGATAGATGCTGGAACCAGTGCTTTTTAACTTGTATATAAATGCAATGGTATTATGATTGAGTGGTGAGGTGGCCATTTCTGATGACAGTGCCAGTCTGAAGTGGTAAAATCAAAAAGAGATTGTGAAAGAGTTACAGAAGAATCTCTCCAGAGTAGAGAGCTGAATGGGCTTCAAAATGCCAAATCCAATTCAATGTAAACAAATTAGTGATGCACGCTGGCAAAGGGAAAAAATCCAAACTTCACCCGTGTAATAGTGGAACTAGCAATAATTAATCAGGAAATTATTATTTTGTAATCATTATTTGATAAAGAAATTGGTTGATAGTTTTTTGGTAGAGTAGGATCCTGAACTTCTTTATGAATTAAAGCAATATTCGCTCCTTTCCAAGTTTATGGTATCAGTCCCTTTTCCACAATGGAGTTCATCATCTTATGGAAAGGTTGTATCAGTTCATCTTGAAAACATTTATAATAAGATGCAGGTAGTCCATCTGGTTCTGGAGCTTTCCCTATTTTAGTCTTTTTTAATGCTTCATAAACTTATCTTATTGCTATAGGTCCATTCATCATCTTCCTTTGCTTCTTCATTGGGTAATTTTGATGTCTTTATGTATTCACCTACTTTCTCATTAGAAATCTCTTCTCCCTGACACTACTGTATTGTTGAAAAATCTTCTGCATGTTTGCATTACCTATTATCATAGCATTCCCTTTTTGTAATTTTAATATCATTTTTTCCCACTTTCTTTCCTCAGTTTATATGCTAGCCATTTCCCGAGCTTGTTTGTTAATTCAAAGTTGTTTTGTTTAGCAAAATTCATTTTTGTTTCCATTTCTTTAATCATTAACATAGAAAACTGACATTGCAAATGATTAATTTGCTGCAAGATATTTTTTTCCTACTGGTGATCTTTTCAATTCATCTTACGTTTTTATCTCTTCTAACATCTTTTGCATCTTTTCTTTTTCTGTCTTTTTGATTTAGAATTTTGCAGTATAAATTTTCCTCTCATAAATGGTTTACTTGCATCCCAAACTGTCCTTATTTCTATATCCTTGCTCAGATTGATCTCAAAAAATTATTTCAACTCTTTTTTACAATCCTCAATCATTTATTCTTTTTATAACAAAATTTCATTTAATCTCCATCTATAAGTTCTACATTTCTTTTTATATATCAAAGTCACTGAATTGTGATCTGAAAAGCTTTTTGGTAACATCTCTGCTTTACTAGTATATGCAGATAATTTCTTAGATAGATAAATATCTATCTTGAAAAAGATCTGTGTCTTTCAGAAAAGTACGTATATTCTCTGGATTTTTCATTTATATGTCTCCATATATCTATAAGTTCAAAGTTCTCCATCATATCAAAAAATATTTTTGGCAGTTTACCTTGTGTTAGTTTAATTCCTTTCACAGAAGTTTTATCTTTTTGTGGACAGACCACTCCATTACAATCTCCTAAAAGACACCAATTTTCATAGGTCAAGTACATTAATTTTCCCATCAATGATTTTAAAATGCTTTTTTAATGCTTTTACAGAATTCAACCTCTGTACCTCTGTTGGTTAAATGTCAAAATTAATCCTTTCAATTTATCCCAACAGAATGGTATCTTCTTCTGTTTATCTGTCAAAAATGTATATTCCTTTCTCTTCTGTAATATTCTGATTGGTATCTTTTTCAACAAAATTACATCTGTATTATTTATTTTTAATTTAGTATTGAAATGTCACTGGATAACCATATCCCTTATCTTGTTTCTGACACAGTGCACAAGTATATCCTTTACTACTTTTCTTATTTTTGCATATCTTGTATTAATTCTGTATACTTTGTCCACTTCTGATTCCATAACTTCTTCGTCCCATTCCAAAAATTTGGATAGTGACTCCACAACTTTCTGTCTAACATCTTCACCAAGTTCTTCTTTCACTGTTCTCAATCTGAAACAAAATCCTTTCTCTCTTAGTTCTAAAACAGCTTTGTTATCTAAGGCCTTTTCCATCTCTGTTATTTCTGCTTTATTTTCTGAAATTTCTATTGTTTCTTTATTCTGTTTAACTTCTCCAGTTATTTTTTTCCATAGCATCTTCTAATGTTTTATCCATATTTTTTCCATATTTATAGATCTCTGTTCCAACCTTTCTTCTAAATTAGTCAGCTTTTTTTCAACCCCCTTAACTGATGCTATAACACTCTTCCCCAATTCTTCAAGCATTTTTTGTAAAGCCTCTTGAATAATTCCTTTTTCTGCCATCTGCTAGCCTTCTATAAACAATCCCCTCCTTGTTGTAGTCATTTCTATAGCTTTTGCTACTTTGCTTGTAGTAGCCATTTTTTCCCTATTAAAAAAAAGAATTGTACAGTAATCTAAAAGAGAGAAAGGTGAAAAAAGAAAAAAAAATAGAGAAAGAAAGTCCCAATTAATAGCTCTTTATTCTCTTCTGCAATTTTGTATATCTATGTTCTCGGGATCTTTCATAACTGCCTGTTCCTGTTGCTGTTTTTGGATTATATCTTTGTTTAATTAAGTCAACTAATCATTCTCTTCAGTAACCTAAACAATTATTTTTCCCACGGAAGTATGTTTTATTTAATTAATTATTTCAACTGTTCCCAATTACCAAATTAATAAAACTCCAAATTTGACTGTTGCCTTATCCCATTTTTAACTTTTTTAGCCCAAACTCCAGGCAAGCTTTTTGCTTTTAATTCCTTTTATTTTCTCTTTCTCTTAACTTTAATTCTTTCCATGGGTTGAAAGTCCACTCACCCAGTCTGTATTAATTACTCTGTTACATCGAAGGTTTCTTTTCACTATAAAGTCTTTTATCTCCAAAATGTGCTTAAGAAAGTAGATTCAGCAAACCCAGCAGCCATTAATGGTCTCCATCTGAGGCTTCGAGCATGCTGTTGTCTTCTGCGGCTCCTGGCACTTTACTCGAGAGTAGCTGACAAGATCCCCCTGGATCTTGCCAGATTTCTCTCAAGGAGCAGCCCATTGGAGCATAAATGGGTAATCTCATGGCTTTCTCCTTGTCTGGGGAAGCTCCCCTGGCTCGGGCACAAAGCCCCGCTTCCGGTAATCACCTCAGGGTCATCTTTGCCATTTAGCACAGGTGTTTTAGTCTGCCATTGAACTACCTGGAAGTCACCTCTGTCACATCTCTTATTGTACCACACATTGTATGCATATCTAATAGCTTTTGGTCTGTATTCATCCGTGGAGTACCTGAAACATCAGTAAAATCCTTTTCAATGTTGGTGCTCTGTTTCTCCAACAATGTGTAAGTACAGTAATATGGATTATCACTATTGCATGATGTATTATGGAAAGGACGTAACTACCTCTATGTTTTTATAGCTTTACAGCAGCTAGAGTAAACATAAAACAATTCTGCATATAAATTTGAAAGTTGCTATTTTGTGTTGCATGTAGAATATTAATACTTCTTTTATTTTGTTAATTTAAACTTGAAAGACATTTGATGCAGTAAAAATTGTGTAGCAGGTAGTGCTTACTATGATTCCAACAGTGATACAAATGGGTTGTGTAAATTAGTCAAAATTCAGTTTGGATTCATGATTCAAAGATGACAAGTTTTGTTTTAAGTTTTTGATTTGAAGTTTAAAAAATTGACATTTAATTAGATAAAAGATTCAGCAGTATATATTACGGAATCATCAGAACACTCAGACTTGAGGTATTGGCATAGCAGAACATAATTACATTTTAAAACAAAGGCATTTTTAATGGCATCTCATGACAGGTCATTTTATTTTTCTTCATGCAGATATGCCAATTTCTTCTGTTTTTATTGTTCCTGCCCCTAAATCTCTACCTAAAATGTAGGTGCAGCAAGAATTTATTTATTTATTTATTTAGCCATATGATATGTAGGATCATAATTTGTTGGAAAGTTCCAGGAATATAACTGCATTTTTTTCACCTTGATGTCCAAATTCATCTAGTGATTATTGTTGCTTGAACTCTTAGAAGTTTGAAATTGCTGAATTTGAAGTTCCAGAGAAATGAAATACAAAAGCATAGGGTCAATAGAAGGCTGCAAGGATTAAGAAAACCTGGGTCTTCCTGTAATCCTTTGTGTAATGGTGAAAAACACTGATAGGTGTGTAAATGAAAGCTATCCCCCTTACACACAATTATATAATCAATTATTTTAAATTCTGAAGAATGAGAACAAACGTATCAGAGCAAGATCCATACCTTTCATGCATACAGTATATGCATGCAATTAATTGAGATTAAGCTCTGACTTTAATATCTAAGATGTGAGATGTTTGTAGATCTGTTTGGATCTGAGACTGTCATATTTATACTATGCTTTGTCTTTCCATAGTACTTTTTTTTTTAATGTTTAGGATGGGCTTTCAGTGAGGTCCTGAGATTGAGGTTGCAATAGGAGAAGAGAATAGGTGTTAAATCACTAGCTAAATTTCAGAGGGAAAATGCTACACTTAAGGAAAAAATTGACTCAATTTCTTAAACTTGGAGAGAATGAATGCTAGTGTAGTCACTTAAAACTATGTTTCTCAACCTTGGCAACTTGAAGATGTGTGGACATCAACTCCCAAAAGCCCCCTTGGAATTTTGAGAAAATGTGTCCTCTGGCTTAAAAGTGTTGAGGATACTGATATATAACATATCCACAGGTATTATTGTTGGAGTCCTTTTAAAATAGTTTTGCAAGAAAAGTCAGCATGCTGGGCTGACAATTTCTCATAATTTTACATGAAGTTCTGGATTGTTCTCTCCTTTCCTATCCTGATTATTTTTGTCTTATTTTAATATATTTTAGGTGTTAATAGTTGGTGGGTCATTTGGGCTCCGTGAATTTGCACAGATTCGATACGATATCCAAAAGGTTCGTGGCAAGGTAAGCAGAATTCTTCCCCTTGTAGCTACAGAATTCAAGATTCAAATATATTAGCCAACTTTTAAAGGGAGGGACAAACTCATTATTCATTCAGTATTTACTTCCCAACCAAAGATAGCTGAAATTTTGAAGTTCATCCCACACACAGCTGAGGGATAGCATCCATTTCCCAGCCCTTCCTATTGTATCCTTATTGCCCATTTTCACAGCCCAAGAGGACTGTATATCAACAACAAAACCTATTCATTCAATCAATCAATCAATCAATCAATCAATTTTGGCCCAAAAGACAGGCTCTGAGAGTCTATGTCTATCTTATTTTTATTTGCTACATTTATATACTGCTTTTCTGCGATTACACTGAAGGAAGTTCATGTCCTATGCCAGCCAGTGCAAAACCGAAAGCTATGCAAATAAAGGGTTGAAAGACTTTATTGCCATAGTATAAACTTCCTGAGAGTAGCCAGAGTAATTAGCTAGAGAACAGTAGGGCTTGCCTTGAAATATAAATTATCAACAATCTACTAGCAGGGAAAAGGTAGAAGTGGTGATAGAACTGTTTGTATATTGGTTTATTTATTTATTTAGAATATTTATGTGGCCATCCAGCTCAAACAATGTGACTCTGGGCAGTGTCCAAAATCATTGAACAAAAATACAAAAGAAAAGTAACACTCACCAGTATGGAAGCTGAAACAATTAAATGATGAACAGGACTAAAATATATTCTAGCTCACCAATTGGGAACTATATTCATCCTGACCCCTACACCCAGGGAGATAGTCAAGTCTTAACTACCTTTCTAAAGGCCTGCAGGGTTTAGAATATATGGGGGGGGAGGTCATTCCAAAGGGCAGGGTACTGCCACTGAGAAGGTAATATTCCCCCAAGGTAATATTGTTTCAGAGAAGGGACCTGGAGTATGCCCTCCCTGTTGGAGCATATAAGATGGGAAAATACCCTGATAAGGGTATCCATGACAGACAAAGCTTTTGGCATCAGAGAATTGCATGAGTTGGTCTGAATGTCAAGCCAAGGGTATAAATGCAGGGCAAGGAAAAATAGCGATAGGAGTTCAATGTTGTTTCCAATGGAGGAGCAAGGGCCTGAAGGCTGCCCTTGTACAGTCCCAGGGGCTGGGGTGGCTTGATTAGGGACACTACTGCCCTCTCCTCAGAAGGAGACACGATGATGGCCTTTGCTCTGCCCTCTATAACTGCTGACATGTTTGGGGGCTAAGTACCCCGCCCAAATGCAGCCTCTCATTATCTAAGACAGGCCCTACTTGCTCAGGCTCATTTTCTGCCAGAGCTGTCAGGGGTAACTGATTACCTGCTGACTCCTCAGGCTGATGGTTCATCTGGACTGCCTTTTCAGCCTCTGACTCAGAACATTCAGAGGAGACCATAACAGCTCAGAGGTTAACTAATGGTGTAAAATATAATAGCCACAGTACATAATGTCAGGGTGAGGAGAAGCATCTTAATGTACCCCAGGTGCTAAATGAGACAATTCTGGAGAAGAAAGTCGATTAATAATTATGTGGTTTGAATATTACTCCATAGTTTGCTTTAGCATGATTTATTAAATAAAATTGAAAGGTTTCACACATTATAATGAGCCATAAGCCATGTTTTACAAACAGCAGTGTCTGAGTTCCTACTCTCAAACCTACCTAGCTGTGTACCAAAATGAATGAATGAATGAATAGATAAGGTTTCATGGAATATGTCAACATTCAGCTACTGATCTGCATGATGGGCCTGGAATTGCTGTATATACACTATTCTCTCTTAGGAAAGTGAGAAAAACCTCACTTCTAACTTCTAATGTTGGGAAATAAGAAAGAACTGTTGACAATGACTGGGGATGATAATTTATCCAAAATTCATTGTGAGAGAAATGTAATATTGTTTCCTACTTATCTAAGAAAAGGCCACATAAAGAGAGAAAAGGACTGATACTGTATATTTTATAAAGACAGGATAAAATTAATGACAGAATAACTTATCCAGAAAGCACATAATGCTCTCATCCATAAATTTCTGGTAATTCCTCAGAATTACTTTTATGTTCTTGTTAGTTAGCACCAAGAATCCTTCTATAAATGCGTGAATTTCAAATCTTTATTTTAGAATTCCCCATCCATCAAAATCACAGATAATGCAGAAAGCAACTAAAGATTCTTGTGGAACTTGTTTGTTTAAGAACTCTAAAACACAATAGATTAAATGCTACTAAAACATATCGTTCAAAAAGTTGTATGCAGAGTGAATGTTACAACTACAATTTATGTTACATCTTCGTCAGAAGCTGTACCCTTCCGGCTGATCATCTAGACAACTCCTTCTCTGTTTTTCTCTGTAGCATTCACATTTGATATTACAGAGTGAACTATAATCTCTAAATCTCTTAATTGTTTTTTAGCATCAGGGCTAGCTATAGCTTGCTTTCACTGAAATTGTTCATTCCAGGGAAAAAAGATGTTTCCCTTGGGCTTTTCTTTCAAAAGTGTCAATTACTTGTAATTCATCATTGAATATGCATCACTTCTTACTATAATGGGAAAGAACATGCAGGTGCTTGGACTTGCTGGCCATGAGCATGCATGTGTGATTATAGGATTTTGAATTGGTAAGATTCCTGGACTTTTTGCTGCTTCCTATCTTTTCCAAAATGTAGCATCTGTTATTTTCCAGACCATAATATTTGACAATATAATGTAGTGCATATTCATGTACACTTAACATGGTATTCATTCCATTTAAATCTTTTAAAAAATTAAAGGATTTGAGTATAGTAGTCCTGTACAACAATATTGGCAGGGTTTATCAGATATAATTATAAATACAAGCAATATGGAATCAGATTTGAATATTGAATGCCTCATATTCACATTTAAAATAATGTTTCAGAGTGCATGTGATTATGAACAACTCTTTAAAGTGATAGGTGTTTTCCTAGGATCATGCAGCTACTCTCTGCAACTCCAACATGATCCTGGAAAAGGACACAGTTGTTTTAAACAGTTGCAGACAGGTGTTGCATTAGTACCCCCATGTGCTCCAAAAAGCTTTTCTGGAATCAAATCTAAAGCATTACACAGCCTAGAGTCCAACTTCTTAAGTTACTTGTAATGCCACCCAAAGAGTAACGGGGGTATTGGTTACAAAGACAAAATGGTATTCAAAAACAATTCCATCACTTCTGAGATAAAAGAGAACAAAACAAAGCAATAAACATCCTTATTTTATCTGCATTATAGGGGCTGTAGAAGTGATTCAAACTTAATTTACAGACTTCCCCTGTATTGCTGTAGAAGTTTACTAGATGTCACTACAGAAGCTATTTTAGCTGATATTTAACAAAACTTGAACTGAGTCCTGATTTTATTACCTTTAACCATCAAGGAGAAATGAATCAATTGGATGAAAGATCTAATGCCTTTAATGAAACCATCAAGAACATTTCAGTTGATATATAAATCAAAGGACTGGGTTAAGTTCCATAATTTATTTACACCCTACATAAATTAGACTTCCAAGTTGCTTTCAGAGATGCACCATTTAAAACTAATTACCACTGTGCAGATAGGTAATACAGGTAGTCCTTGACTAATGACCACAGTTCAGACTGGAACTTCTGTCATTAAGTAATACGGTTGTTAAGTGAGTCATACTCAATTTTACGACCTTTTTCGCCATGGTCGTTAAGCGAATCCAGTTTCCCCCATTGACTTTGCTTGTTGGAAGCCCCCTGGGAAGGTCGTAAATGGTGATCACATGACCCTAGAATGCTGTAACCATGATAAATATATGCCAGTTGCCAAGTGCCTGAGTTTTGATCATGTGACTGCAGGGATGCTGTGACAGTAGTAAGTGCAAGGACCAGTCGTAAGTCACTTTTTTCAGCACCATGATAACTTTGAACGGCCATTAAATGAGTGGTTGTAAGTCGAGAACTACCTGTACCTATTTGGTAGATAATAGAATTCGATTGTGATGTCTCTTTGGACATTCACAAAGAGGAATATCTTTGGGAATGTATTGTTTCAACATAGTCATTTTTTTTTTCACTTGGAGCTCCAAAGGGCCATATAGAAAGAAAAGTAAGAGTTATAGAAGAAACTAATTTAAATCAGAGTTAAAAACAAAAGCCAAACATTAGCACATGCTGAAGAAGAAATTATGGTGACCTAAAATTTCTGTCTATAAAGACACAGTATTAGATGAGAGTCCATGTTGCATATTCGAAGTTAAATTTTCAGACAAGAATACTCTTTTTGAAGAAGGAAAGTTTTGAAGCATTGCAATATAAAGCATTTCCCCTTTCTCACCCAAGCCTCAAGGGCATTTTGTTTTAAATCTTGTACTTCAGGCTATTTAAGTGGTTTGTAAAAGTACAGGTACAGCATATTAAACAGGCTTTACAAAGGCACCTTGAGGAATTGTCTTTTAATATTTTAAACATAGGTGTCTTACTTTTCTTATTCCCCTGCCCCTTATTCTTCCATTATATTTTGGATGAGTCAGCCAGCTATTCAGCAGGAGAGTTTCAGTTCCAAAAGAAGAACTTATATACTAAGGTGTGCATTTCTTAACAGGAATCAAGTCTTTTTGACACAATTTTAATTGGACAGGTGGTAAATAAATGGTCTCAATATGATCTTTTATTTCCTCTGAACCAGAGAGCAGTTTTTCATTTAAAAAAAGTCAATTCAAGAGAGCACATCATTTAATTTTGCAGGTATTTTGTAGTCTTTCAGATGGCCTCATAAAGGGTAGGAATTGCCTCAACAGATATGTAGAATGTTTTTCTCTCATGCATATTACCATTTTTTGTGCTTCAAAGTATATTCCATCTGCATGTTCACAGCTTTTTTAACCTCTTCCTGGTGTCAGCCACACCTTCATTTCTATTTCCTCTCTTCATTACAAGTTTATTTACCCTATTTTGCTTATTACTATGCAACTTTCTGAATTTCATACTCCATTTTCTTCTCTGCTGCATAGGATGTGCTCTCTTGTCTTTCTACACACCTATCTCATATGTTCTACAATTTGTATCTTGTTCTTCAGTAACTTTTCATTATTTTCTGCCTTGTGCAAGGCTGATTTTTTATTGATTTGGACTGTGTTAACTGTCTTCTTTCTTCCTTTTATATTATCCAAAGCTCATGTCACTCCATTTGGGGATCTTGTTTACAGCCAGAAAGAGGAAATAAGTCTTTAGTCCCAGGGCTATTGCGATTTAACCACTCATAAGAATGGCACCACTGCTATATAATTCTGTCTTTACAAGAATTCTGTGAATTAAATTAGGCTGAGAGGGGTTAACTGGTCCCAGGTCACTCAGTGATCCTTACAACAAGTGGAATTTAAGCTGGGCTACTCAACTTCAGAATGATCTTTGTTACGGTTAAACCATATTGGCTCCAAAGGATCCATTTAATCCATTGCTCTTCTGCAACAATTGCAAGTTGGCTGCTTCATGAAGTTTACAAACAAGGCTCAAAAGTACCCAGAATCCAGTCTCTGCACTTGAAAACTGCGATGGCTGATTAGATTGAGTGTTTATGTCCTATAAATTAACCTAATCCATTTTAAAGCTAAGCTTGTTTTTCTGTGGGCAGAAGAACATCATTGCCCTTCCAGTTTTAAACTTGCCTCAAATCAAGAATTAGCCCCTCAGCTCTCCCAGCTGGATACCATTAGAATAGCTCATTTCAGAATTCATTTCTAAAGCCTTGTTCACACAATGCTGGTAACAATCACCACACTAACATTTTATATAGACATTTTTTTTTCTGTTTTAGTGAACAATTGCTTGTTTTCTCTTCCTTTTCTTTTCCTTTTTTTAAAAAACCAGCCTGTCATAATAGCACAGCTAAAAATTCATCTGAAGATATGACTGGCTAACTCTATATGAAATATGTGCTAGGAGGTGTATTACGATAACAACAGTTGACATAAGCATATGTTTCTGTTCTAGTCATTATCTGAACAAGTGACCTGTTAATGTAGCTGAAAGAATACATTAAGGCAGACTTAAAAAATTTATGGGGCCCTTCTTGGCTACATTAGAATGAATAAAATCTAAAATATATATAAATTCATTTCAAAAAATAAATTGCACTACAGGCTACTCTCAGAATTGCAAAACTGAAAGTAGAGTAGAGGGAGAACACATTTTCTATAACTACATTCAAACATTCTATCTGTATGACAGAAGCACCTCTATGCACTCTTTTTTATGAAGCATTCACTTTTGCATTCAATCTCAAATGCTTCACTGTTGACCCTATCTCTTAATGGCCTTTCTTCCAGAGGATAAGCCTCATACTTCTGGAACTTCTTATCTGTTTAAAAGTTAGAAGTGCATTACAGTATGCATGCAAAATTTGTTCAATTCAGTATTTTTCTGAGAGCCCAATGTCTGAATATATGCTATCTTTTGGCAGTTGAATTTCTCTTCAACTTACTATCATTCCAGCATGCAAAGAACTTGGATAATGAGTTTGTATTCTAAATGTAATCAGTTTTGAGACATTGAATTTTAGTGAGGCTTCTGCAATCTGGAGCTATTTGTTTAGTGATTGCTATTGGATTAAACCAAGGGGGTGTGTGGAGAACATTTCTAACTTTGGAAATAAATAAACCTGAACTTCCTTTGAGATTTATTTCAACTTCCCATTTTATGAATAGAAATGAATGTGAGAGATTATCAATAAAATGTTTATGATAATGCAGATTATCTTTCCTCCTTCTGCATAAAATAATTAACAATTTCATGCTAAGCATGAATTATTGGCAAAACCTATTGCAATAGAGCCAGTTGGAATTATGAATATTTAAGAATGAATTGTGTAAGAATTCCTTCTCCTTTTCTCTATACAGGGAATTGTGTGTATTTGAAGTTGCAGAGAAATTATAGTGCTTCATAGGTTATATTTTCTTTCTGATTAGAAGTATTTGATTTATATATTTTATTTATCAGATGGATCCAGAATTGATAAAAAAGCTCAAAAAGAGTAACGTGACACTGGAATCTGAATATGAGGTATGATGCTGATATTTTTTCTTTACTACCTGGCTACTTGGTTATAATACACTTTCTATCCCTGTCTAAAATTAAATAAACCTTAACTTTGATTCATAGACATCCAGGAAAAACAAATTGTTTTGAGAATTCAAAGCTTTGTAGGACACAACCCCTGTTTTTCATGCTCATACAGTGCTGCAAATGCAGTTGTACTGTTCTGTATAAAAGAAAAACTGCAGATCCAACTGGAATGTGCATGTACCTATGCTGCAACTGCCAACCCTAAGATGGGATCCATGTGGCTAATTGCAAATATATGTTATTGTTTAGTGACACAGGCTGTTAATTTATCAGTCCCTTAGACCAGTTATACACTTCTAGCCTCATTTGGCACTCAACATTAAAATGCATGCCTGTGCAAAGAAATAATTCTAGTTTACCTAGGAAATTGAGGTAATTTGAAAAGATAAGACGTTTTCCAATAATTACTGGTCTGTAAATGTAGGAGTTTATTTCACGTCTGTCGGAGTAGGAGAGTTTCTCACAATCCTTTCTGTACTTGAGTAATCAAAACATAAGGAAAACTGCTTGGGCATACCAAAGGCCTCTGTAGTCTGCATTCTCTTGTTCTGCTCCTGTAGTGGCCAATCAGTTTATTCTGAGAAGTCTACAAGCAAGAGAACCTCCTTTTGCTTATGTTCTCCTGGAAATGGTACTGAGAAGTATTCTGCCACTCTGATAGTGTCAGATATTCATTCTTCAGCCAGTTCTAATAGCCTTTTCACTACTGAATTCCCTGTATCCAAACTGGCAACCATAACTACATTGTAGTTGGAGGGATTTGAAGACCTGGTTCTGCCGCTTGGCCTGGGGTGGGAAGGGAAGACATCAGGAGTGGGGATGGCTAGCCCCTTAGAGGCCTGTTGACTGCAGCTCTGAGAACCATCAGCCTCTTGGACTTTTTCTTTTCTTTTAGTAACATTTTGCACAGTTTTTATGTTTTAGGTAATTTTATATATATTTATGGTTTTATGGGTTATGTGAGCCACCCAGAGTCACCCCATCAGGGGAGATGGGCAGAGGATGGATGGATGGATGGATGGATGGATGGATGGATGGATGGATGGATGGATAGATAG